CTACCAACTGCGATACTTTTAAATTGTCCGTTAAATGCTTGTTCGATGAACAACTTGCGAGTGTTATATCTGTTTGTCTGGGGACTAACATTAGACATAACATGTATATCAAAAATTGTAGTAGAAACAAATAATAAGTGAAAACAAACATGTAATCATCAACACTTAAAATAGAGAATGAAAATGCAGAGAATGAAAATGAAATCAATTCGAAAAATTTCTAGAACATACCAGGTTTTCCAGCTGCCCAATGCACCAATAGTAAAAAAAATCGAATGTAAATTATATTCAAATGAAATAACTTACATCAATGTTAAAAACAGTCGACACTTCGGGTTTAACTTTCTGTTTACGAATACATACCCTTTCGTCTGGTGATGCTCGCGAGATCACCATGATTGTTTTACCAAACACTGACTGTTCGCAATACTTATCATTATTTCACTCCGGTGCATCAGCTCTGTTGACCCACTGACATGTACAGTTGTCCAACTCCCGTAAATTAATCTTCCCGTGTCATCTCCGGGATAAATTTATTCACCTCACGATTGCAACGAAGTCCGCGGTTTGGTTGCAGCAGCTTAGTGCAATTTATTCACTTGGAAAAAGTAGCTTTTGGTACCGAGCCACCAACCATACCATCATCATAAGAAGCGAAGGCGAAATCCCCGGCAAGCACTCGAAATAAAATGCAAACGTTCGCATTCTCCAGTTGTCCAGTCCTGAAAGAGCTGTATGTCCCGAACGACCACAATCCTGTAATTGCTAGAAATGTGACAGCACAGTTCACCGCAGTCGTCGGAGTCATCCTTCATATCGTTGTCCTCTGCCTGCATTCGCCTGCATGTGGTGGAAAAACCTGAAAGAAAGGCAGCAGCAGCACAGCGCACCTAGTACTTATACTCTAACCAAGCAACGTCGTCGTCGTCACGATTGTTGACTTCTGCATTGACCAGCAAATGTCCACACAGCGAAGCACGGGGAAATTAATGCCTTTGTGGGAGTAGTAAATTTATTTACTATTTCCATTATATGTGTGGTCCGGTTGTGCCATTTTATGACGGCGGATGGTGACTTCAAGTATCGCCATTTTCCACTGGTTTCTCGCATTGAATTGGCTGGGCCGAAGGGGCATGCCTTACAATTTGCAGTGTTTCTGGAGTGTACTGCTGATTCATGATTATTTCCGGCACGTTCACTTCTCTTGGGAGGTTTCTTGTGTCCGGGCAATGCGGCCATGTCAGAAGAAGAAGCGGAACCATATCTAGTACGTCAGTGCGAGTGACAATAAGGCACTATGCGACTGGCTTGGGACTTGTTTGACAGACTGAGAGGATGAGTGAGTATGTCTTGACTTGTATGATACTAAATTGTCCGTGGATGCATTATGTGGAGGCGTGGACCAATGCTGGATGGATCGGAATGAAGATGTGCTAAAAATGTAAACCTATCTAAGTTTTGTTTTTAAGTAGGATGCTTGAATCATAGAAACTTGTGTCGGAACTAGAATTTTACGGTTCTCAGGAAAATTGAACGCTCCCAGATTAAACATTTTCAAGAGCTTAATCCTACAACTAGTTTTCCAATGAATTAACAAAAAATCAAAATCTCTATTCATTAGCTTGTCGGATCTCGTTTACAAGTTTTTGACGCAGGACAAATAATGGAAAAAATCGTTTCATTTTGCATTTACTACTCACTCACACGCATACATGCAGGGAAATGAACAAAATCAAAATACAAACATCACAGACAAACAGACATAAAACTCGCAAGTTGTTCATCGAACAAGCATTTAACGGTCAATTTAAAAGTATCGTAGTTGGTAGTACTGCCACCTGTGGCGCGCATAGTCAATTCCCTTGCGTTTGACGTTAACACACTACCGCCATCTGTTCAGCGTACTACCCACCACAGTGTACTCAACAGATGGCGGTAATGTTTTAGCGACGATGTTTTACAGTGAGAAATATACATTGTGTTATGTCTGTTTGTCTGTGCAAACATTATGAAAACTCAAAAATTAAGAGAAAAAAATCTTTCATGCGTTTCAAGTTTTAATTGTTTGGACATAAGTCATTCATGCGCCACAGGCAGGCATGGAAAATTATTTGCATTCATTTCGTGCATTCATTTACATTCATTTGCCCCTAACTTTTTCATCAATAGATATCCGCAAAATGATGTATGGAGCTTTTGTAGGTTTTGTTATTAGCTACAACTTGTATCTCTTATGAATGACGAACCAGAGCGAACAGAAGCCACTACTGTTTTTCAGTCAATGTATTTTACATTCACTGAAAAACAGTAACAAGTTCTGCCCGCTCTAATTCGTGATGCATAAAGTGCACCCCACACGACAAATTGTATTGACAATAATCGTATTGTCAATACATTATATCAGTGCTAACATTTGAAAACGGCGCAAAAGCCATTTGTAAACAAATGGTTTGTGGGCCCTTTACTCGCTACCCGAAGAACGCCCACCCAAACCAACAGCATCGTTCAGGAAGGGGAAAATTTCCCCTACCCGATGTTGCTGTTGTGTCGCGTGGGTGTACTTCAAGTAGTGAGTAAAGGGCCTACAAACCATTTGTTTACAAATGGCTTTTGTGCCGTTTTCAAATGTTAGCACTGATATATTGACGTGAATACATCGATATTGACAATATTTATGTATTCACATCATCAATATTATTGTCAATACTTATCATTATTGACAGTATTTCTTACCGTGTGGGGTTCGCTTAAGAGATACAGATTTGAGTTATGGGCAAAAGTTGTAGCTAATAAAAAACCTGCTAAAGCTCTATACATCAATTTGCAGATTACTGTTGATGAAAAAAAGTTAGAGGCAAATGAATGTAAATGATTGCATGAAATGAATGTAAATGATTTTCCATGCCTGGCCACAGGTTTGAATTTCAAAGTGCACCTTTTGAAAGTTGACAGAGTGTTGATTTGAATAAAAAAAATCATAGCGATCCTTATAAGATTCAGATTCAAAATTCAAGATGAAAGTGGTAATCGAAGAGCAAGCGTTGCTGCAGGTTTTCTTGAATGAAGTTCCTGTCGATTGTTTGACATTTCTTAATGGTAAGTATTAGGATGGGTCATCATGATCATTTTGCAGAACAATGATTTTTTTTTGGTTCCATTTAGGGTCCCAAACAACTGTACAAAATTTGGAGACGATTGGTTGTAACCCGGCTTTCCGCATTGCATTTGAAATTTGTGTGGAAATTAGTATGGGTAAACCTACTTTTTTGCATCTTAATTACTAGGGACCACAATTTTGCACAAACCACGCATCTAAATACGTTAAAGTATAACCCAGGAAGTGCCTAACAATTTTGCTCAGAAATGTATTGTGCTAGAATGCCCCTAAAAAAAGTTATAGCTGTTCAAAGATCAATGTTTCGAATTAAATGCCAAAAATCCCTTTTTCTGCCAACACTGCCGGTGTACCAATGAAAGTCAGACTCCAAATTCGAAGTTAATTATTTTATCGTTTTGGTATGTTTAGATGAAATATTCAAAAACAATAGATCTATCTCATATGCGTAGCTGGAAGGGGGATTATGGATGAGAGGGAGGGGGCTCACTATACCCCCACCCCCTCACCAATATAAATGGAGGTAAGGCTTCAAACTGCAATAACTTCGGTGTTTCTAATCTTGTCAAGTTGGTATGATCAGATGTATTCAAAAACATGTGCTCCAATTTAATAGGCGTAGCGCCGTAGTTATATATGGGGGGGGGGCTTACTGTATGCTTTCCGGCCCTCACTTATATCAATGAAAGTAAAGATAAAGAATAAAATAACTTCGGAGTTTCCCATCTCTCGAGTTGTTCGGATGGGTTAAAGTTAGGCGAAATATCGTGCCTATGGACGATGGAGCAGTTCCACGAGACGCTGGTTGAACTTACCGAAGATCTGATCGGACGAAGACCGGCAGTCATCGGAACCCAATGCTTAGGCAGTGGAGTGGGGAAACAGATGTACCAACGCAAGAGGGCACATTCTGCTGCAAGCTCTGGTGAAGCTGTAAATTAGGCTGTTTTATAAAGGCACCACTAGCACTTTTCGCAGAGATGGCCGGGAATCCATTATCGACGTCACTTTATGCGGACTGCAGTCTGTCGCTGGTGGAAAACGTGAATTGAAGAGTGTGTGAAGGATATAAGGAATTTTGTGGCAGTACAGAGGACGATAACTCGCGACCTGAAGTGGAAGACGAGCTGACAGAATCATTAGGGAGAGCATGTGACACGACCATGTCGAGGAAACTGGAGCTAAATAATAGACGGCTTCCAGCTTACTGGTCCAACGAGGCAATTAGCACCCTCCGCGCTAGTTATCTCAGAGCCAGAAGACGTGTTCAGAGAGCAAGTACAGAAGCAGACAGAGAGGATCGTAGAAGAATGTGCCGAGCACATAAACGAGAGATAAAGCAGAGCAAGTCAAACTGCCAACGACGCACACAGTGTCGTGATGACGAAGATCAGATGTCAAGTCATGCCCGCTGAAATGTGCTTAAAACACCTGAAAGTCATCGTGGAAGTACTTTTCTCGATGCACGATCCAAGGACCTGGCCACCTATATCGTACGGAGACGGAGAGGGAGCTAACGACGTAGTCACCAGCGAGCAACTCGTAGCAGTGCCTGCTGGATACACTCGGAAAACTCTTGGAGAGGATCATCCTAAACAGGCTGACGAAATGCACGGAGAGTGAGCAAGGATTGTCGGATAGGCAGTTCGGATTTCGAAAAAGAAGCGCAAAAGTGGATACAATTCGGACAGTTGTCGAGAGAGCCGAGAAGGCGTCGAACCAAAAGTGGAGAGGAGATCGATATTACACATTACACTATGATAACGATCGACGTTAAGACTGCGTTCAACAGCTCCAGCTGGGAGGCCGACGCTTCTTCCAGAACCGTGTTTTGATCTACGAGCCAAATATGAGACAGAGATCGATTAGGATCACGGTGGAAATACTACAAGGCTCCATCCTTGTAGTTGCCCATGTTGCTGATGTAGATATCCATAGTGGCGTGAGCACCGTACCTACTCAACCGGGTGGGAGTGTCCGGACTCAAGGTGTTGTACTGCGCTTCCTGTAGGTAATTGTACAGGATGGTGTGCCATTTTGATTGCGCCGACTGTTGCCACAAGCTTGATGTTTGTCGTTCAGGTCGCCAGCGATGATGAAATTTTCCCACTGTTGCGATATAGGTTTGTATTGAATGTACGCGCGCGATTCACGAATAAATTAAAACATAACTTTATTGTAATAAAAGAACAATTACAAAACGTGTGAATCACTTGGCTATCGCAATTATATAATGATCATGATGACACCGTCTCTCGGTCCGGTCCCCAACGTTCGTGCTGGCAGATGTCAGGCTGACACCTGTCAGCTGATGAGCCCTGGTGGTGAAATCGGTGGGGGGCCTCTCAACACCTCCCCCCTTTTAGAAGAGTTGGTAAGGTTCATACCTCACGGGCGGCCTACGAAGCCTCGTAGACTGGCGTGTAGGAATCGGTTGTTGCTGTTGATTGCTTACGGGACGGCGTTAGTTGCTACGTTGAGTTGGCCGCTGAGGTTGTTCTGGTGAATCCGGAAGGTTTTCAGCTTCCGGAGACGATGTCGTAGATAGACCGCAACTGTCCAACAGGACGCTCAGAGAAAGTTGTGATTCTGCTGGTGTTTGTGTTTTTAGTTGTTGCTCATCGGATTGATAGCGAGTTCTCATCTGGTTGTAATGCGATCTTATGAGGATTTGCTTTGTCGGTAGCCAAATGTTGTACATTACTTTCCCTAGGCGTTCCACTACTGTTCCTGCATCCCAGCTCCACTCCTTATTCCGGAACACCTTGGTCCAGACGAGATCCTGAGGAATGTAGATTCTCGCTTTCGTGCTTGAATTGTTCTTCTTGCTTCGAATTCTTGATCTTGTGGAACTGTGTTGGTGGACGTAGCAGGTCCAGCGATGTTCGAACTGGTCTACCAACGAAGAGTTCAGCAGGAGATTTTCCATCAGGTGCAGTGCGACATGGTGTAGATCGATAGCATTGGAGAAAAGTGTCGATGGCTTCGTCCAACGTTTCCCCCCTCCCCTGCAGTGATTTTCTTGAGCGACCTTTTAAACGTGTCTACAAACCTTTCCACGAGGCCGTTTGACTGCGGGTGGAAAGGTGAAGTTTTCAGGTGGAGAATAGCATTTTTGTCGCAATAGGATTCAAAAGCGTCACTGATAAATTGTGGCCCATTGTCAGTTACCAGCGTCTCTGGAGCTCCAAACCTAGCGAAGATTCCACGAAGGATTCGCACGGTTGCTGAGGTGGTGATCTCCTTGGTTCGCACTACTTCTGGCCATTTGCTGAAGGAATCCACCAAAATGAAGTAGTACCATCCATTCATAGGACCGGCATAGTCCAGATGTATACGCTGCCACGGTTTTCTGGGGCTGGCCATGATTCGAGATTTGTCTTCCGGTCAGTTTTTGTTACACTGGAACATTCATTGCAGGTTTGGACGAGCTTGGCGATGTCTTCGTCGACATGAGGCCAATATACGTACTTTCGGGCGATCGATCGCATTCGTTCCACACCTGGGTGACCTTTTTGTAGCTGTTGGAGCACCCGTTTCCGAAACTTTGGTGGAATAACCAAACGTTCTCCATACATCACGCAATCGGCTTCGACGTTGAGCGAGTCGCGTCGTAAATAGAACTGTTCGACTTGAGGGTCGGAGAGATCTTTCTTTTTAGGCGGCCACTTACTATTGACGAACCGAATAACTTGGTGTAGTGTGTCATCGGATCTGGTTTCCGCTTGAATCATCTTGAACGATAGCGGAAATACCTCTAGGAACTTGTTGATAACAAAACATCCGCATCCCCGAAGCTTTCCGTTGAAATGTAGCGAATGTCGAAATCGTAGAGGAGCAACGTCAATACCCATCTTTGCAGTCGATTGGCCGTATACGTAGCAGTGATGGAATTCTCACCAAAATATCATTTTCGCTTGCGATACGTTTTCTCTTGGGAACTTTCCCTCACTAGTTTCACACTCCAATATTTCCTGAGCGAACTTTCTGGGATGAGAGAATGAGATATCGCGAACTTTTTTAACTCGAATCACCAACGTGAGGATACGAAAAATATCAGATCATTTTTTCTCTCTATCTCTTTACACCACATTCGTTCTTGAAAATTGCACTGCACATTTCACAAGGGAAAGATTATAGACAGAAAGCTATCCCGAGTAAATCAATACAATCTCTAAAGACTGATAAGTCTGGTACCTGGCTGTCAACTGGCGCCTGTTGTTTAAAGTAGCCGTTATCAGGATGATGTGAACAGTTTTGTGCAACTGATTGATTGGTGCATTGGTTTCTGGCAAAAAAAATGAATGAATCAGCACAAGTGTCAACGCGACATTAACGTGGAACGGGGAGGGTAGTGTAAGTTTTTTTTTTTTTTTTTTTTTTTTTTTTTCTTTGATTTGTTTTCCGTCGATCTTGTTTTCCGTGCTGAGCACCAATGCTACCGACGCCAGGAAGGCAGCTCCTACACCTGGACCCTACCTATCGACCCATCAACTCATGAACCGGGGACCAACGGCTTTACTTCCCTTCCGAAGGAAGGCGCGATCAGAGATGTTATGCCTCAGAACATCCCGGCGGCGCCGACTGGGATTGAACCCAGGCCTGCTGGGGTGAGAGGCAATCACGCTTACCACTACACCACCGGCGCCGCTTTAGTGTAAGATTTTGTGACTAGCAATTTTTATATTAAAACCGTTCCTCAGGATAGGGGGTTGCGGAAGGAGGAGCGCCTAATGTATCCTCATTTTCACGAAATACAGTTAATGCATGGCTCCTCTCATCACTAGTGTTCGTAATATCGTTCCTGTAAGCTCTTATGCAATAATTACATGCAGGGGGATGGTTGGGAATATAGGTGGTGGTGAACTTTTTCACTGTGCTATTACCAGTGCTGTAAATTCTCAAAATCATTTGAACATTTTTGATGAAAATTAGAAAAGTAGCTATTCGCTATCAAAGGGGACCTCCTCCGAATGGGTGATATCAGTTGCTTAGTCATTTGACGAAGGCATGGATCATTCTCATTTGAGAAACGCTATATATCATTCGATTGAGTGTAACCTACACACAAACGGAGCTCTGGTCGACATTCCGGCGAAAAAGCTAAGCCAACCCGACACCAACCTGACTTCTATCAAACCCCAACCCGATGTTGACCCGACATTGACCCGACATAAACCCAAAATTGACCCGACATTAACACGACATTGGGTCGACATCGACCTTAAATTAGCCTTACATTGATCCGACATCGGGTCGACTTGTCTGTTCGGGACCATTTTCCTGGATTTCTTCCATACTCCACTGTCGTATATCAAATGATACTGAGTGACTCAATTGACAGTGACAATGAGCTTCGAATGAGAAAGGGGCTCTTCAAATTATGGTCATGTGAGAATTCGTTTACACAGAATTGATTGAATGTTTGTAGTGGTTCATCTTCAATCTATTGATATGAAAATTTACAGCACTGGTTACAAGTATCTATTATTAGCTGGTTGCATTGAGAACTAAAACTATAAATAAATCCGGAAAACTTTGAGATTAGGGCGTAATTTCTTTTGTAAACACACACTTAATTCGCCGATTTCTCGTGAATTAAAGTTCAATCTAAAAAACTAACAACACAGACAGGTAGAGGAATGATTCATTTGGTATAGTATAGTTCGCTAGATTGTGCTTTGATTCGTGAGAAATCGCTGAATGACGTGTTTGTTTACAAAAGCAATTACGCACAAATCTCAAAGTTCTCTGGAAATGGTATTTAATGTGAAGGATGCGAAAAATATCGGAGAACGAGAAGAAAACAAACAGACACTCTCGCATGATCATCGCCTACCTTTACTCGCTGGAAAAAAAGAACAAAGCTGAGGGTATATTTGGTTGGTTCGAATCACGAGTACGTGTGAAATGATGTGAGATGGAGAGACGAAAGATCTTTTGCGATACGAAATGAAAATTTCTCTCGCTCTACGCTTTCATGAACTTTTTATCATCTCTCGTTCGCGAACTTTTTGTGAGAAGTTCCTTTGGGATTTATCTCTGCAATGAGCTGTGATAGAACTTTTTTTGAAAATGATTTTTCCAACACTGATACGTAGGAATCCCCTTTTTTTGACCCAAAAATAGCAAGTAGCGGTTTATGGTCTGTCTCGAGGATGAATTTTCGACCGAATAACATTCGATGAAAACGGGTTACAGCGAATACGATAGCCAATCCTTCCTTCTCGATCTGACTGTAGTTGGTTTCGGCTGTCGTTAAACTACGGGACACGTGACAAATGGCTTTAATAGTCCCGTCGGGAAGCTGGTGAGCGATTCGTGCTCCCAGTCCCAATGCAGATGCGTCCGCCGAAACAATGATGTCTAACATGGGATTGTAGTGGGTCAGCAGTAACGGTGACTGAAGAATCTCTCGAAAACGATCGAACGATGCTTGACACGCCGGTGACCATTCGAATTTTACTCCAGCCTTCAGCAGCTGATCCATTGGATGTCGTAGAGTGCGCATCTCTTTGACGTATTTGCCGTAATAGTTTACGGCACCCAAGTAGGAGCGAAGCGTTGAAACATCGTGTGGTGGAGGCATGCTGACGATCGAAGCAATTTTCTCGGGATCCGGCCTGATTCCGTTGCCATCCAGGATTTGTCCCAGATACTTGACCTGCTGCATGCCGAAGCTACACTTTTCGATGCGTACGGTGAACCCATACTCCTTGAGCCGCGCGAGAGTTAGCTGCAGATTGTGCTGATGCTCTTCTTCATTACGGCCCCGACCAATATGTCATCGAGGTAACCAACAGTACAGTTGAGACCAGCTAGCATTGTGTCCATCAGCTGTTGAAAGGCACCCGGAGCTGACTTGATACCGGGTGACAAGCGCGTAACTTGAAAGAGGCCTTTGTGGGTGTTTATGGTTAGTAGCGGTTGACTGGCTTGATCCACCTCTACCTGCAGGTACGCGTCGGACAAGTCAATGTGACTGCAAATCCGACAGTTTGCCATCTTCGCAAAAATATCCTCGGGCAAAGGCAATGGATACTGGTTTGGTTCCAGAACGCTATTTAGACCAGTCGAAAAGTCGGCGCAGATACGGACGGTTCCATTTGGCTTCCGAACCGCGACAATCGGTGCCGCCCAGTCGCTGAAATCCACTTTCATCGGGATGCCAAGGTTTTGCAGGCGAAAAATCTCCACCTCCACAACATGCTCCATGGAGTAAGCCACCGGTCGTTTTGGTCTGAACACCGGCTTGGGGTTACCTTTGAGGACCAGTTTGACGGGAGTCTTGTTGCACAGACCTATCTCACTGGAGAACACCTCAGGAAACTGCGCTTGAAGGGTCGCTACACGTTGATTTGCTTGTGTAGTCACTTGATTGCAGTACGACGCTATCGGGTGGTCCCACAATCCGAACAAGTCCATCCAGTCTATGCCTAGAATGTCGAGATGAACGTTAGGAGAAGCAACGAAACGCTTACCCTCCCGTATGATGCCGTTGAGGTTTATATTGCACTCCAATTCCGCAACCAGTTCAAGCGGTTCCCCTGATGCTGTTTTAGCGCTGCAAATTGCTGGTTTTACTTTTGGTCGACCGATTCTGGCCCACGATCGGTGCGAAATTATTGAGATGTCGGAACTGGTGTCCAACTGAAGACGAAGCGGAACGTTGTTGAGTTGGATTTCGACGAATTTGCGCCGCTGACCGATGCTTCGGACGGTTACTATCTTCGACAACGGCTGTCGCCTTTTCTTCTTGTTATCCGAGCGATTGACAGCGTTGTTCGATGATTTCGACGAGAAGCAGGCACAATAGCCCTCACGGTGCCCGTACTTTCCACATTCGTTGCACCTGTGATCTCTAAACCGGCAATCCTTATTATAGTGCATGCCCCCGCATGACCAGCAGGGTGTCTTGGGTTGTTCCCGGTTGTTGCTGCAATCCGAAGGCGACTGACGCTTCGACGTTGTTCGCTTGGGGTACGCGACAGCTTTCACCGTTGAAGAACAACTTTCAACCATCACTGTGTCCTGCTTCAGGTTGACCAAGCTGTTACACTGTTCCACAATCTGCTGTAGGGTCAGGTCCACCGATTCATTTAGCTTGTTGATGAGGCGCATCCGAATCTCCGCCTCTTGCTTGGATTTAAGGCCGTAAATGAGGCACTTAAACTGTTCCTCTGTCAACTCCGATAATTTGAAGTCGACGCAGGTTTTGTTTACCTTGCAGGAGTAGGCCAGGTAATCATCGCTGTCCTCCTTGGTGGTCTGCAAGCAGTTGTATCGCCGCTGGAACGTTGAAACTGTGGCACCGAACAACGATTTTAATTTTTCCACCGTAGCAGCAAAAGTAAACTCTCGAGTGAGCTTCGGAAGAATGAAGCTGTTGTACCGCTCATGCTCGGGTGGGCTTAATTTCCGCAGGAGTAGTCGTACTTTTGCAGCGTCATCCAGCTTGCCGGCATCTTTGTCGAAAAGGTCGACGTAGCGGGAAAACCATGCGTCAAATGTGTGCCCATTGTCTTTGTCGTAGACGAACTCCGCCATGTTGCTAGAGAGGGAGTCCAGCACCGATTCGTCGCGGGATAGGTTTTTCACGGCGAGCTGAGTAGTGGCCAACTGCTGGTAGATTTGCCGCATCAATGCCTGCTGATTGTTCAGGATCTGCACCAACGCCTCTGTAATGTTGGTCGGCTGTGGCTCCACCATCGCTACCAAACTTTATCCCCGGTCTTCTAATCCGCGAAAACACCGGACAAACGCGCAATTTTCCGCACGAAAAACTCCTACACCTCGTCGTCACTGTTGCGATATAGGTTTGTATTGAATGTACGCGCGCGATTCACGAATAAATTAAAACATAACTTTATTGTAATAAAAGAACAATTACAAAACGTGTGAATCACTTGGCTATCGCAATTATATAATGATCATGATGACGCCGTCTCTCGGTCCGGTCCCCAACGTTCGTGCTGGCAGCTGTCAGGCTGACACCTGTCAGCTGATGAGCCCTGGTGGTGAAATCGGTGGGAGGCCTCTCAACGCCCACCGTCGTGTTAGCTTGACAATTTCTTTTCTTAGGTCTGCTACCGACCCGTCCCAGATGTTGACTTGTTTGGGACTGTTAGCCGCAACGATGAGGATGGGGCCGACAGGAGTAGAGACTTCCACCCCTACGGCTTAGATGGTCTTCAGCTGAAAGCTCGGCAGAAGATGTTTCTCCTTAGGGTTGATGGCCAGTCCTCCTTCCCCAAAGCTGGTTCGATCTAGCCTTATACGATCTGGAAATCAGGAAGGTAGACATTAATTTCTGGCTTCCGGTGGGTTTCATTTATGACGACGATGTCGATATTGCGTTCATTGAGAAACTCAACGAACTCGATGTCTTTGCTCTTGAGCGAGCAAGCATTCCAATTTGCGATGTTGATGGCTTCACGGTCCATACTTGTTGATAAGAGACACGGCAGCATGAAGTTGTTCTGATCGGGTCCTGTAGGTGTGCAGGGTATTGATGACGTTTGTCCAATGCTTTACAAGTTCCGTTGACGTAAGCAGAGTGTTCTCGTTCGTTTGTGGAGGCGGTGCATCATCACGACGCCGTTGCCACATATGTCTGACGACTCGAGCCTGTCGGAGGGCTATGCACCCCAGCAGTAAACGAGACCGATGTAGCAGCAGCAGCAATTTGGTTGGTCAGAGGGAGCGGCGGAAGCACCGGAATTTGGTGCCGTTGGGAAATGGCAGGAAAGTTCTGCCCGTTGTTTCCTGGCATCCTTCTGTGGCCAGGTTGATTCTGCGTAGATGTTTTTTTGCGGATCGCGATAAATTCCGCTATTTTCGGGCACGCTTTGCTGGTTACCCGATGTAATGTCCCTAATTGTTACATTTGAGATCTGCGTCTATTAACTGACAGGCATCAGGTGCGTGCTGCTCACCACAATAAAGTCTAATTGGTCAAATTCAAATTGGTGTATTTCTGTTACAAATGCATAAAAAAACCTGAAATGCTGCATTTGGATGTTAAGTGTATATACAATGGTTGCTATGATGAGTTTTCACCGTTTGCTATCGAGTTTTCAAAATGACGTCCAAGCAAGAGGAGCAGAGTGTCGCAGCAAGAGAATACGACGTTCTTACACGCCAAGTTGGCACAATTGCTGGAGGTGGCCAAATCGACCGTGACAAACGTTTTAAAGGTGTTCGGAGACGACCGCCAGGAAGCCTGGAAGCGGCGGCAATCGTAATCCAAACGTGGCAGCGACGACGAAGAAGGTGGCGGTGAAATATAAACGGAATCCGAACCTCTCCATCCGGGACGTTGCTGGCAAGCTCAATGTCTTCCATACTACTGTGCAGCGGGCCAAGAAACGAGCCGGGTTGTCGACGTTTAAGAAGGTGAAGGGGGCGAACTGAGATTACAAACAAAACACGTCGGCAAAGCAGCGGCCCCGAAAGCTGTATACGAATCTGCTCACAAAGTTCGACTGTGTCGTCATGGACGACGAAACTTATGTGAACTCGGATTTCAATAAGCTTCCAGGACAGGAGTTTTATACCGCATCAGGAAAAAGGAAGGTGGCTGAAATTGTCAAAACCATCAAACTATCGAAGTTCCCGAAAAAATATCTCGTCTGGCAGGCCAGATGCACGTGTGGTCTAAAAGGCGGCATTTTCATTACTACAGGAACCATCAATCAAGAGATCTAATTCGAGGAGTGCCTGGAAAAACAGCTGCTACCATTCCTAAAGCAATATAATAGACCTGTGCTGTTCTGGCCGGACTTGGCGAGCTGCCACTATGAGAAAAAGGCAATCGAGTGGTACGATGCGAACAACGTGGTTGTGGTACCCAAAGACCACAACCCTCCAAACAGCCCAGAACTCCACCCTATCGAACGGTATTGGGCCTTGGTCAAACGGAATCTCAACAAAAACTAATAAATCCATGGAAAAGGAGCAGCAGTTTAAATCTAACTGGCGTTCGACGGCGAATAAGGTCGATGTGACCACATGTGTACAATTTAATGGAAGAGGTTAAGCGGAAGGCACGGCAGTTCGGATTTGACAAACCAAAAGAATAAACGAACATTTTTTCCTTTAATTATATGAATTGAACTACCACAAGGAAAATAAGAAGATTTTTGTGATATGAATTTTGACTGAAAGAAACGATTTTTTGTCGACCAATTTTTGCGCGTTCCGTTTAGTTGCAGCGGTAGGCCAGGTTTTCGTACCATCCTCAAACAGCAAGCAGTTCACGCATTGGGTGACGTCGAATTGACGGGTTTGTACCGTTCCCATATGACTACGATGTGGAACAGCGCCTGAATATTCTGCAGATCCTTGATACACGTTGAGTTCTTCTCCAGGTGGACCAGATACAGCTTATCACGGTACTTGCGAGTGGCATGTCGATTCATCTTATAGATTTGGATCGGCTTGAGTCCGTTCTCCTCAAACTCTTTAGACAGTGTGTCGAGTTCCATGTCGGGGAGACCACGCAGGACTACCTGGAGAGGCTTTTCGTCCTCGAGATCGTGGGAGAAATACTCCTCATTTTGTTGCTTCAACAACGTCTCGACGGTTCTGTAGTGGTTCATCACTGGCACCATTAGCTTGTAGCTGTAGAGTTATGATGTTCGATATGAACCCTGGATACAACCATAATACAGTCAGGAATCCTTATTGCTGGATTCCTTATTGCCGGTATCCCTTATTGCCGGATCCCTATTGCCGGGCTATCCGCGAATAAGGATACCCTCAGCTTATGGGATTTTCAGTAATGGGGGCTGTAGTGGATAATTTGTTTCAGTATATAAAGCTATACTGTCTTCGACAAATATGTTGTACTGGGATAAACCAACAAGCTTGTGTCATTGTATTCAGGTTTAATTGGGAACTACGCCGCTAGAGGCGCTCCACTTTTATGTTACTTATGACGGGCGTTATAATATATGGAATATAGGTCCAACATACAATATTTCGTGATCCTGGCCATATAGAAAGTTACTGTCTTCAGCAAAGTTGACCAAGTGACCAAGTTCTTTCGGATGGTGGCCATATTAGTTCAGAACTCTCTCACTACGCAGCGCTAGGGTGCACATGAGCTTCCTATATACGCTGTATCTCAAAATCCTGGCCATATAGAAGGTTACTGTTTTCAGCAACGTTGTTCAGGCGACCAAGTCCTTTTGGAAGGTGGGCATAATAGTTCAGAACTCTCTCACTACGCAGCGCTAGTGTGCATAAACTTCCTATAAAAACTGTATCTCGAGAACCTGGCCATATAGAACGTTGCTGTCTTGAGCAAAGTTGTTCAGGTGACCAAGTCCTTTCGGATGGTGGTCATATTATTTAAGAACTCTCTCACTACGTGGCGCTAGTGTGCACATGAACTTTCTTAATATGTTATTTCTGGAAAGCTTGTCCATATAGAACGTTGCTGTGCAATGTGAGAACACGAAACGGAATAGTGATGACGTGTAGAGAACCTGTAAATCGATTTCGGACGCCATTTTAAAATCCAATATGGCAAACATCGATTCAAGAAAAACTGTCAAATACCCTACAATATGGATATTTTTGGAAAGGGAACGACGTATAGAGGCTGGAAATCGATGCCAGACGTCATTTTGGAATCCAAATGGCGGCTGGTGCGCATCGGTTCAATAAAAACTGTCAAATTCCACAATATGGGTATTATTATTCTAATTAATGTTTTAGGGTATTTTGGAGCTCAAAATGTTGCCTCGCATTATTTTTTTCTGAATAATGCTTACCAAGCATATTGCGTATAGTTTGTATAATGTGTATAACGTACCATTGAGCAAGATGGCAACGTTTCGACATCTTTTAGCAAATCTTGCATTTTTACACTTTTTTCGACATTACTGTCCAGTGTGCAGAAGCTTTCGAGCTCGGAGAGTTGATTTATTTTGAACTCGATTTCTGCCGTGGTGGGATGAAAATATAATCCATATTCATTGTAGATGGGTCCAGTTCGCTAACAATTTAGTCTGCTGTAACCGGTGTATCTCTTATGATTTCGTTGATTTCACCTTGTTTCTGCACCAAAGTTTTCGTGAATTCGTTGAATTTCGGACATGATCTGCAAATCCTCGTTGTCGTCTTCATTGCATTGTGAATTTGCGAAATACGACGGAAGAATTTTCTTCAATCAGTTTACCAACGTGCTTTGTTATATGGCCTTAAGAACCAAATCCAAGCAGTCGAAACAATTCTTGATGCTGGACTACTTTCGTGTATCCGCTAGTGCTAGGCTTTCATTCTCGGCTGTTTCCAAAATAAAACTGTAGCTTCACTTGACATACTTCAGCTTAAACTTTTTGATGATGCCTTGATCAAGGGGTTGAATCAAATACGTTATCTTTGAATAAAAGCATTATGGTGGGATTGCTTATGGTGGGCGGATATAACGGAGCATTATCAAGGAGCAGCAAAGCCTTGAAGCTAATGTTCTTGGCTGCGCAAAACTCCTCCGTCGTCCCCTACACGTCATTCCCTATCGAGAAATACCCATATTATAGAGTATTTGACAATTTTTTTTTTTGAACTGGTGGTCGACATCTTGGATTCCATAATGCCGTCTGGCATTGATTTCTGGTCTCTACACGTAATCCCGTTTCCGAAAATACCCATGTTGTAGTTTTTAGTTTTTATAGTTTTTCTTGAATCGATGACCGTAATCT